GCAGGGACAGTCTAAAACTAATCCTCTGCCATCCCATCTTTTCTGCTGCTTTTAAAATGTCCCGACTTCTCTCTTCTCCTCCCACTTCCCCCCGTTGTCTTCAGCTTACTTCAGTTGCTGCAGACTGAGAGTTCCAAGTCAAAAGTCATTTGCACTCACTTAACACAGGAGAAAGAAGCAGAGAGGAATCTTGCCCTTCCCAGCAGGCTCAGGCAAAATGGTTGCAGCCCCTTCTAGCTTACATGTTCTTCCTTGTTAATAACCTTTCCCATTTTGACTACATTTGATGTTGCTTGGCTATATGTGTCCTGGTTTTCAGCTGGGAAATGGTGGAGGATATTTTACAGGTGGGTCTACACTGGCCTGAATACTCTGGGCTGCTCCTGAAGTATTCTGACCTCAAAGCTGCCCCAAATTTCCCCCGTTACCTGGGCACTTGATGCCAGACAGGTGTCTATGCATGTGACCTGGTGTGCCTCCTGCCAGTGGCGTCATGAGTTGGTCCCTTTGAGGTTAAAAATGAGATGCCTAGCAATGATTATATCAATGGGTGCCTCTTTGTGACTTCAGAGGGACCAACCTGTGCCAGTAGTAGAAGGTGGCACAGTGAAATTCATGTGCAGACATCAACCTGGTGTCACTCCAAAGTGCTCCAGATTTTCTAGGAAGATCTGGACCAAAAGGTGTGTCCAGAGGAGAATGACCAAAATAGTGAAAGGTCTGGAAACCATGTCCTAGGAGGAGCAACTTAGGGAGCTGGGTATGTTTAGCCTGGAGAAGAGAAGGTTAAGAGGGGACATGATCACCATGTTTAAATATTTGAAAAGATGTCATACTGAAGATGGAGCAAGCTTCCTTTCTGCTGCTCCAGATACTAGGACAAGGAGCAATGGATTCAAGTTACAGGAAAAGAGGTTCCACCTCAATATTAGGAAGAATTTCCTGATAGTTAGAACTGTTTAGCAGTGGAATATGCTGCCTTGGAGTGTGTGGTGGAGTCTCTTTCTTTGGAGATCTTTAAACAGAAGCTGGATGGTCATCTGTTGGGGGTACTTTGTGTATTCCTGCATGTCAGGGAGTTGGACTTGATGGCCTTTGTGGTCTCTTCTAACTCTATGATTCTATGTTTTTTTTTAATATTCTTTTTAATGCAGGGATGGCCCAGATTTGCTGTGAAACTGCCCTTCCACGTGAAGACAATCTGAAATTGAAGACTGAAGACCTTGGGCCCTGTATTGTGAAGACAAGGGGATGCAAGGGAAGGGGAAGACTAATGCATTTGGCCCTTGTAGTCACGTCCACACTTTGGACTTTTGGGCCTCCAGATATGTGCAGTGGGAAGTGCTTCAGGGTTCCCATCCCTAGTGCCACTAAACTTTGTGTCCTAACCCTGTGCCTATTTGGTCAAAAGTATGTTCCATTGTGATTTGATTGGATAAGTCCCACTGTGTCCAGTGGAGATTTACTTCAATGCTAGCACAGGTTTGGATAGTATCTGTACAGAGCCTGTCTCTTAATTCTGCCAGATCAGGCTGCTTGTCTTCATTGTTTGTTTGAGTCCCTGGCCTGGCGTCTGTGTGTTTTCTTAAAAACTGAATAGAGACAAGTTATGAGTGCAAGTGAGAAAGCCAGAGAGGCTGTGTGTGAGTGAGAGATCCCTTCCAAGATAAAGCAGTAAGTAGCCCGTCTTGGCTAAACATCTCGCACAGCTGTATAAATATATGTAACCCGCCATCACCTCGCCAATCCCGCCAGCCGAGGGGGATTGGTGACACCACCAAACGCTTTGCTGTCATTAGATAATTGAGCCGCTGATGTTAAGAAAAGGTTATGTCTTTCTCCCCATAGTTTTCCTTGTTAAAGCTCTGACACAGGTTTGTTACCATAATGGTAATAAAGTCCTGGCTAGGGAATTTCAGCAAATCTTCCCAGGGGTATTTCCCTCACCCCCTGCCTTTCTTTCCCCCTCCCCTTCAC